TAACGTTCAAGCGTTATAAAGTTTCCTCGGCCTAGCTAACTTTTACCAAGGGTTCATTAAGAACATGCAAAATTTGAGAGGGCCTCTCAACCAACATTTAAAAAAAGACAAACCATGATCATGGACCCCAGAATGCCAAGACGCATTCGAGAAGATCAAGAAAACTCTTACTTCAGACCTCTCCCTCACCCATTACGACACTAGCCTCGACATCATAGTCGCAAGAGATGCAAGCTCGTACGGCATTGGTGCTTGCAGGTTACATGAACTGCCAGATGGTTCGCGAAAAGCTGTGGCTCACGCATCAAGATCTCTAGTTCGATCTCGACATGCCCCAAGTCTCTCCTGAAGTGCGACGCTCAGGAAGGAAAAGGAAATTTACTCAACCGCTCGACGTAAATCCCAACAGGAAAAAGTATTAACAGTTTTATTTTTTCTCTCCTTTTCAAAAAGAAAACTCTTTGGAAGGGGGGTATTGTGAGACCGGAAACTACCTACCCAATAGACTCTTCTAGGCCTATATTAAGTAGGCGACATAGCACTCTACAGAGAGTGACAGAGAGAGCCTAGTACGACTACCACTATTGGACACTAACATATAGTATGCTCCGCTTACACTATCTCTGTAAACAGTTGTTAATATATCTTTCTTACATCTAATCCGTGATCCGTGTTTTCCTTCGGTGGTTCCAACTTTGGCCCCACATCATCATTGTAGCCAATAGTGCTGCTCTTGCAGAATACAAGCGGTCACCCAGCAAGATAAACCTGCAGATTCCCCAAGCTGCCAGGAGCAAAGCTCATCAAACTGCCAGATGCTGCACCAACTTGTACTGGACATAGCTTAGCGAAATCATCCAGACAGCAACAATTACAGGGAACATAAGAGGGATGTACAATGGCATTAAAGACGACAAAGGGTCCAGTGCAGAACAAGACAGCTCCTTTCAAATCCACCACTAGGGACGTCGTCGTAGACAAGGGGCAACGCATAGAGAGTGGGGTGGAAAACTATTCCCACCTCTGTTTCCTTGCAGACTTTTGTAACGACCGCAGCCAGTGAGATCCTGGCGGTCACGGAAGACTTAGATACCGAACCAATCATAGAGGAGCTTAGCAAGGCCATTGAGAGCTTCTCGTCAAGGAAGGACCTGGCAGTGACAGTATCCCCCCTGAACTGATCGGGTACTCCAATACAGACCTTCTACTCACATTGCATAGGTCCTCTGACAGTGCTGAAAAGAAGGGGCCGTACCTTAGGACAGGAGGGATGCCAAAATCATTATCATCTACAAGAACAAGTGTGAGATAAGAAACTGCAACAATTACAGTCATCTCGATACTCAGCGTTGTGGGAAACGTCTTCGCTCGGGTCATCTTGGCCTGCCTGCAGAAACTCGGCAGAGTCTCAGTGCGGTTTCTGATCTGAAAAATCAACGGTAGATATGTTGATCTTCCTCCCCCAGCTCCAGGAGAAATGCAGAGAACGGCAGATGCCCCTGGACGTCGCTTTTATTGAACTCACCAAGCCTTTCGATCGCGTCAGCAGAGAAGGCTTCTTCAGAATCCTGCCCATACTGGCTACCCACCCAAGCTGCAGAGCTTGATTGAGTCATTCTACAGTGACATGCGGGGTACTGTACAGTTCAATGGCAGCACCTAAGAGCCCTTCAACTTCTGCAGTGGGGTCAAACAGGGATGCGTCCACGCTGCCGCACTCTTCGGGATTTTTTTCCCGTTGCTTCTGAAGCATTCATTCGCCACATCAAGAAAAGGGATTTACCTGCGTACGATATCAGATGGCGGGTTGTTCAATCCCACCGGCTTCAGAGCCAGGACCAAAGAAGGTGAAGCCCTTGTCAGATACATGCTTTTTACCGACAACGCAGCAGTAGCAACTCACACCCAGTGTGAACTTCAGTCACTGATGAACCCTTTCTCGCAGGCCTGCAATAATTCGGGCTAACCCTCAGCCTGCAAAAGACAAACGTACAGGGAAAAGCGACACCATCAGCCATCACCATTGATGACTATGAGCTCGATGTGGTCCATCAGTTCACGTACCTTGGTTCCACAATCACTGACAGCTTCCACTTAGATGCAGAGATTGACAAGAGAATTGGGAAAGCAATACAGCGCGATTCATAAAATATGTTTAGACCAATCCCAAGCTGTTGGTGAAGGGAAAGATGGCAGTGTACAACGCCCGCGTTATCAGCACACTGCTATATGTGAACGGGGCTTGGACCACATACCCCAGGCAGGGAAGGAATCTGAACACCTTTCACATGAGAAGAGGTCACGTCCCGAGCAGGTTTGCCCAGCATGTTCGCACTGATCAGACAGCGCAGACTCCGTTGGTTGGGCCACGTTCATTGCATGCCAGACGACCGCATCCCCAAAGATTTTCTGAATGGAGAATTGGCCGCTGGAATGAGACCAGGCAGGTCGCTACAGCTGCGGTACCGCGATGTCGTGAGATGCAACATGAAAGCTGTGGACATCATCACAGAGTTCTGGGAAAGCCTGGCAGCCATACAATCCGAATGGAGAGAAACCTTGACCAAACACCTCAAGTCAGGGTTGGAGAAGCTGACACAAGACACCACGGAAAGGCGAGCTCGCAGAAAGTGACAGCTCCAAATGACCAGAGACAGAACACATATGCGACATCTGCAATAGAGATTGTTTCTGCGGTATCGGTCTCTACAATCACAGAAGTCGATGCTTAAGCCAAGAAGACAAATAGAATGCCAACCCTGGGCAACCCTGGCCGAGGGAGGCCTACACATACACCATTCTGTGAAACATCGTGGCTTATTGCAAGCAAATGCATACCCTCTAAACACACACAAAAATATATATATATATATATATATATATATATATATATATATATATATATATATTGGGTGCGAGACCAAGTGGTAAGAACGTTCGGTTTCTGACCATAAACCCGGGTTCGAATTTTACCATGGTCGATTAGTATACAAAGGTGACTTCCTGATATTATCGGACTGGTTTTCGGCCTACCCTAGCATGCGTCAACGTTGGAAAATTCTGAAAAAAACATATCACGGTTTGATCCATGCCTCTGAGTGAAATTGGGTAGACAGAACTCTTTCGAGTCGTCGATACGTGTGCTAGCACGAAGCCACAACTCATCATGGCCGAGGCATGTTAAAATTACAGATGACGTTATATATATATATATATATATATATATATATATATATATATATATATATATATATATATATATATATATGAGTTAAGAATATACATATTTTTATATACCACCAACAATATTAGGAAAATGTATGACAAAGGGGAAAAATTGTTTTTCATGTTTTATCTTTTAGGATTCCATCGGACTAAATTTGTTACGTTAGTGCGACTGCACATGCGCACAAAAGAGGCATGCATCCTTACTCCCGCCAAACGTAAAATAGATTAATACGGCGGTAAACTTAAATAGAATGTTAATTGCATTTTCCTAGTCTGCAAAATTTAACGAAGTATGTATATATATATATATATATATATATATATATATATATATATATATATACTTAACGTATTGTGCACTTTATTTAGTTATTTTGCTTACTCGATCGGTTTTGTTTTTTCTTTGTACTTTGGACTTGCATGCTTGACGATTATTTTACTTAATGAGATCCAAGGAATTTAAATCGTTTGAATCTCATTATTTGCAATTCACTATTTTAATATTTTATATTAATAGTATCTACTTGGATTACTTACCGATGCAATTTTTTTACATACCTATATATAAATCTATATCTATATCACTCTCTTTATATATATGCACACACACACACACACAAACACACACACACACACACACACACACATATATATATATATATATATATATATATATATATATATATAGACACACAAACAACTAAAATGGATATCACATTGAAAATAATGACATAAGCAAGATGTTAACATTGCAAACAACTTCAAATAAGACGTTAGGAAGGAAAACCTCATCACTACTGGAAAGAGCTATAATAGCGACCTAACCTGAGTGACCTATTTATCTAAAAACACTATTTTAAGAGAAAGATTTTATAAATTTCTACTGAATGTGAAAATAATGATATAATCAAGACGTTGACATTACATAATACTACCGATAAAAGGCTAGGAAGCAGACCGTCACCAATAATGGAAAGAGCGATAACAGCGACTGGACTTTGGAAAACGCTTTTTTTTCCCCCTAAATAGAATAATACATATTTCAGAAATGTCAGCTTGAAACAACACTGGCTGCTCGGTCAAAATATCCCAAATATTTTCTCGTAGAAAAACAGATAATATTAACATTAGCATATATATATAATCATGGGACAACATTATTTACAATGTAAGAAGCTGACAGTGTGTAATTTGAAAGAAAATTGTAAGGAAAAAGAATCATAATGATAGAAATAAAGAAAAGGAGTAAAGCTAAATTATCTGGAAAGAAAGAATGAAAAAAAAGATAGAAAGAAAGAAAGAATGAAAAAAAAGATAGATAGAAAGAAAGAATGAAAAAATGTACTAAATTACCATAAAGAAAGATGAAGGAAAAGAAAGAATGACAGAAAGAAAGACTGAAAGGAAAAAAGAAGGAACGAAATAATGAAAGGAAGAAGAAGGAAAAATTCTAATTATATGAAAATTAAATAGTAAAGTATGCTAAAACCAGTGACCGAGAAAGGAAGAAAGAAAAAGGTTATATTAATTTACTATAGACAAAGATGTATCAAGGAGAGAGAATGATTCGTAATGCCAGTTTGTAGAAAAGAATTTGTAAATTCCAGATACATTCCCATATACATATATATTTCCTTTACCCGACACGTGATCTAATTATTTCAAGATGAGGTCGACGGTGCTTGATCTCTGGCGATCCTTGTTCAGATATTCCTATATGACAGGATGAAAGGAAACAAAAAAGAAAATTTTAATTATATGAACATTTACTATTAAAGAATGTGTTTATATTGCGCTAAAGAAAGAAAGAAAGAAAGAAAGAAAGAAAGAAAGAAAGAAAGATATATTAATTTACCATGGACAAAGATGGATGAAAAGAAAGAAAGAAAGAATGAAAGGAAGGAAGAAAGAAAATTCTAATTATGTGAAAAGTGAATAGCAAAGAACGCTAAAATAAGTAAATTAGAAAGAAAGAAAGAAAGAAAGAAAGAAAGATATATTAATTTACGATAGAGAAAGAGGGAGGAAAAGAAAGAACGAAAGAATATAAGGAAGGAAGAAAACCAATTATAATTCTAAGAAAATTTAATAGTAAAGAACGCTAAAACAAGTAAATGAGAAAGAAAGAAAGAAAGAAAGATATATTAATTAACCATAGACAAAGATGGTGGAAAAGAAAGAAAGAAAGAATGAAAGGAAGGAATTCTAATTGTATGAAAATTAAATAGTAAAGAACGCAAAAGAAATAAATGAGAAAGAAAGAAAGAAAGAAAGAAAGAAAAAATTGCAATTATTTGCATTTTCTTCTTTTTCTCGCATTCATTGAGTGAAAGAATGGTCAAATAAAAAGGAGGAATTAACTAAAAATTAAAGTCAAACAATTAAAAGAGCAAGAAAGAAACAAAGGCACAATAAATATAGAAACAAATGATATCTGACGTACACGGAAAGCCAGGCAGAATGGAAGAAACAAACAAAAAACCCACATTAATAGAAAGATGAATAATGGAGGAAGAATGAGGCGACAAACGAAGAAAGCCATGCAACTCCTTGACAGAGAAGCATTTCCCGGTAAAAAGATTGTTGACATTATCAGCATCACTTCATACATTGCTCACTTAGCAATGAATTTAACAACGGAATTAAAAGCGGCAATTATATTTCTATCGGAACCATCGAGAATGGCGACAATAAGAAGACAATACAGATGTCCAACGACAAATGCCACCAAGACAATTACCTAGTAAGAAGCATCAATTATCCATACAGCAGCAATCAATGCAAGAGGGCTAAAGACTTTGGAGATATTACAACTGATAAGTTGTTCGTGAGAGCAGAGATGTTCGTCGACGAGATTGGAAGCTGTATATCGCGTTTAATTCCTTTGACAAAACACAGACGTAATTTTTTTTTGTCTGAATTTCTGTTATGAGGATTTATCATTTAGATTATTGATACTCGGACTATTGTCCCCATAGAAGACAACAGTCCGAATATAAATGGTGTAAATAACAAATGTAAATAATGTATTACTTTAATAGAGGCCGCATAAGAGGTTACTGGGAGTGAAAAAAAAATGAAAGTACAATAAAAAGAACCGAAAACTAAACGTGGAAAAATGATAAGATTTGACTCATGTTAAACAGAAGAAGGAGGAGTATAAACCGGACGATATATATATATATATATATATATATATATATATATATATATATATATATATATATATATATATATATATATATATACAGTACAGCCATAATATAAGGAACGGAAACAACAAAGACATAAATATCTGTATTACTTAAAAAGTAATACATGATTAGCAATGAAATTTTACCGAATATAGACTAGGGTGTAATACATAAATATTATATAAAGTTACAAAAATTTACATAAGTTTTTTTAAATAAAGATAAAATGGAATAAAGGAATGCATTATTTTTAAGTAATAAACATATTTATGTCTTTGTTGTTTCGTTATATTATGTATATATATATATATATATATATATATATATATATATATATATATATATATATATATATATATAAAAGTGAACGTAAAGTCAACACTGAGACGCGACAGTCTGTTTCATGCTAGATGCAATCCTCAGAACACTCGTGGCCTGAGGATTGCATCTAGCATGAAACAGACTGTCGCCTCTAAGTGTTGACTACTATGTTCACTTTTATATTTACATACGCTCTATCTCTGATATTGAGCACTTTATTCCATAAATATAGCACATTCTAAGACTATATTTCCACACACACACACACACACACACACACAAACACAAACACACACACACACACATATATATATATATATATATATACATATATATATATATATATATATATATATATATATATATATATATATGTAGATATATAGATGTATAGTGATATATTTTGAATAACCAAAACTATGGCGACCTTCTTAATTATCTTCGTAGCAAAACAAAGAAACTGATCCATGAATTTAAGAGGTTTATACTAGACATAATATGTGTAGATTATTCAAAAACACGCACCCAGACTCACCCTTCACCCCCACATACACACACAGGCAAACACACGCGCGCGCGAATGCATCATCAGTTTACCCCAAGCAAAGCGATAAAGCCACTAAGACACATGAATTTACTGTGAGTGAAAGAAAATGCAAATAATTTAGAAAGAACCGAAGCCTAAACATGGAACAAATGATAAGGTTCTACTAATATTCAAAAGAACAGGGAAGAGTGTACACCTGACGATATATATATATATATATATATATATATATATATATATATATATTTTTTTTTTTTTTTTGAACAATAAAAAAATATTAAAAAATTAATATTAAAAAATTAAAATCTTCAGAAACAATGGGTTGTAGATTAATATTCTTTCGTTTTTTTTATTATTATTTCATTTAGATTCCTCGACTAGTTTCGGCCAAAATGGCCATCATCGTGTGAAGAAATATTTCTATATATATGTGTGTGTGTGTTTGTGTGTGTGTGAGAGAGAGAGAGAGAGAGAGAGAGAGTTTTATATTTCAATTTTATATACTAGACAGTTTCATATTACACCAAACTTAATTTTAATCTGATCTCGCTTCCATTTTTTTCTTTTTATTTGTCATTCATTTTCGCTCAACAAATGCAAGCTTTGCAAGTGGAGATAAATATACAATATGCATCCCCCGGAAGGCGGGAAAATGAATTATCTAATAAATGATATACAGACATTTTAATATCACACAATAAAGCAAATTTTACAGCTCGAAACGCCCACGGAAAATAAAATTTAAATAACAAATAAAAATAAGCAGTTGGTGGCAGGTTCTAATTCGCTTAGCCATCGATTGATCGATCGATCGATCTAGTCACTACCCTGGCAAAGCGAAATAATCTCGAGACAATAAAATCGCTTGTCTGTTGTTGTGTCTTGCTCCGATAATGCGGTTAACGCATTTTATATTCGTGTTTTAAATAGTAACGTATTCCACTGTTGCCAGTGGCAAATATTTTAGCAAGATTGTGTTAGCACTCACCCAAAATTGGATTTCTGCCAGCCTTTAGAGTTATTCAGTAATCTTAGTGTCGATTGGCATATGGTCATTACTGAAGAGCCCCTAATGAGGATAACATTTGATCTGGTCTGATAGATTAACTATATTTTTGAAAAAAATGGTATGTTCTTTAGACTGAGGTGGACATAGCATTGTTCCAAATAACTATATTTCTGCTTATCACATCGCTGCCAAACAACTATGAGCAGATATTTACACAATTTAGTGTCATCTCCATGAGAAATATATTCCTTTCAAATGTTAATGTTTCTTGGACATATCTTAAAGAACTGGAGTAGAGCATTCACAGCACCATAGGAAAAAAAACTGGCCGTATTCCGTTAACTCACTTTTTGTGAGTGTGACGTCGCCCCCCCCCCCCCTGGTCGCAGCGTCGACTGTGTCGTTCGATCTCGTTCGCGGCACCAGTTGTGACGTCACGTGCTCTCCAGGCTCTGATATCCTGGTCACGGACAGCACCAGTTGTGACGTCTTTGCCGCGGCGTCAGCTGTTCGCTCCTCGCTGCTCCAAACGTGACGTTCTAACCCTTTGGTTAGATGAATACCAGCCTCGCCGTTCCCAACTCGCTTCCAACGCCTGGTTACTAGGGTAACTGCACTGATCTCCGGTCTGCCTACCCACGTTGTGATTAGATCTTAGACAGACGGGATCAAACAGGGATTGGGGCCGTATGCCAGCTGGGTTCAACGGGGGTGATAACACACAAGTAAAAGAAAAACTCACGAGGCCAAAAATTATTGAAAAAAAAAGGGTAACAACCTTTTATATCTAAATGTTCGTTACACAAAATTGTTCCTATCTCCCGACCCGTTTTGTGGTCTGTGGCACGAAGCTTCTACCATACAACTTTAAGACTTCGAGTTGCTTGTTCTCTAGAAATTTGCATTTCGGGGTGTGGTTTGGTTTCGACACTGGGCGCTGATATCTACCAGTCGTTCACGGCTGATTTCCCTCGCCGTCAGTGCGCGAATTAACTTCTCTTCTGCTTCGGATGGACGAATTTATTCCCTTCGACTTGAGTTTGGATGAATTTATTCACTTCGACTTGTCTTGGACGAATTTCTCTTCATAGGGTTGGTGTGATTCCAACTTCTCCTAGTCACAACTGCAAGTTAACTTCTTCTTCGTCCGAGGCGCAAACCCAACTCCAACTGCAACTTCTCTGCCTGTCCGGCCTGTAACTGTCTCGCCGTCCGCCCTGCAACTCTTCTGCCTGTCCGGCCTGCAACTGTCTCGCCGTCCGCCCTGCAACTCTTCTGCCTGTCCGGCCTGCAACTGTTCTGTCTGTCCGGCCTGCAACCTTCTGCCTGTCCGGTCTGCAACTCTTCTGCCTGTCCGGCCTGCAACTTTCTGTTTGTCCGGCCTGCAGCTCCAACTCTTCTTCGACTTTTGCAGCTCCAACTCTTTTCTTTCGGGCAATTTTTCTTCGACTTGGGCTGGACGAATTTCTTCACTCCGGATTCTCTTGCCCGCAAAGGGGCGAATGAACCGGGCCCGCCGCCCGCGTTCAAGCTCCCTCGCTGTCCCGCCCTGCAACTGATTTCTGTCGATTGGGGTCCTGCTTTTATTGACGCCGTAACAAACTGGGGTGGGTCTGTCGGCGCCAGGGTTTTCTTGATAATTCCAAAAGTCGCATTATTTCTGAATTCCAATTATCGCTCTTACTTTCACTCCTACTTCCTTACAGTGCCTCTGGGGGGGGCGCATACCCGCTTCCCCTGGCCTCTCGTATGTCAGGTGACCGCTCTCGACCAATGGGGTCCTGGTCGAGCATCTTTCCTCCTCCCTCGTACATCACGTGACCGCTCTCGGCCAATGGGACTCTGGTCGGGCGTCTCTCCTCCTCCCTCATGTATCATGTGACTGCCCTCGGCTAATGAGACTCTGGTCGGTATCTTCCCTCCTTCCTTCGTGACGTCTCCAATCGGGCGTGTACAATCCGGGGCTTTGTTCTGGGGAAGAAACACCTTGCCAAAAAAACAAAATTTAAATTGTCCTTTTCGTATACGCGGTATTTGTCAAAACAGCTCGCCGCTAATTAGATGTGACTTCCAGGAAAAACTTTTTCCGACCCGTCGGCGTCTTCCGCGAGCTAAAACAAATATTTCACCTCTTTCTTTCGCTCGGGCCTGTTAACAAAATCTTAATTATCTAAATTGAAAATATCTTCCACTCATCATCTTGGGTGGTTCTTATCTTCAACCCCAGAACTGGTCAGGGTTCGTGTATCAATGTTTTGTTTTCGTATACATTTCCCAGCGGTTACTTATCATCTCAATGACACCACTTTTCATTCGTTACCTATTAATATTTTTTCCATTGTCCTTAAAATCTTATTTCTTCAACCAAATTGATAACAAACTCCCATACTCCGCGGACACGAAAGTAGGTCAGGTGGTTGACCGACATCTGTTATGCATCAATCGCGCGTGTGCCTATTCGCTCACTACCCCGTCTCGTATCATTATTTCTAAACTCTATTCCTTCAACCAATTATAACAATTTCTATTTTTCGTGGATTTCGGTCAGGTACTTTGACCTAGATAACTTTTGAGACCTATTTTGTGTTAGTTTTAAGCGGGTCTGCTTATGACTGGGTTTTGTACCATCTATTTCTCTCTCTTTTCTTTTTATTTATTTTTTTTTCTTCCTTTTTCTTTCTTTCGGATCGCCTAAATACAATTAGAGAATTATTCTCAAAACTCAATTATTCTTCGTCTCTAAATAACTATCAACCGGTTAACAAACCGAATAAAAAATAAATCATATATTTATGAATATCTCTCTTCAGTTTTCTAATGATGCATGGTGCCACAGTGAGAAAGAAAGAAAATAGAAAGAAAGAAAAAAGAATAAAAGAAAGAAAGAAGAAATCGCAATTATTTGAATTTTCTTCTTTTTCTCTCATTCATTGAGTGAAAGAATGGTCAAATAAAAAGGAGGAATTAACTAAAAATTAAAGTCAAACAATTAAAAGAGCAAGAAAGAAACAAAGGCACAATAAATATAGAAACAAATGATATGTGACGTACACGGAAAGCCAGGCAGAATGGAAGAAACAAACAAACAAAAAAAAAACATATTAATAGAATTGGGGAAAAATAAGCAATTTTTCTTACATTTATGTTAAAAACTTTACAAATACCGAGAGTCCCTCTAGGTAGAGTGTTACTTAATAATAGACTTGAAGAAATTAAGATTGTAATGACTGGGGAAGAAAAACATCGGGAGGTTCTTCGTGTTTAACTTATATCTTGAAAATGGAGTAAAAATTGGTTGAGGTTTGTTAGCTACAATGGGCGTAGTATGGTGGATCTTAACCGTGAAGGGTAGAACTGGTGTAACTAAGGAATGTAGTGAAAAGTGAAACTTATTTTATGCGAGACGTATATATATATATATATATATATATATATATATATATATATATATATATGTGAAAAGTGTATATAAATATAAATATGTATAATTATTTATATATTATATGCGCGGTAATTATTAGAAAGCGCTCAATATTAGAGATAGAGCTAAGATATTTGGTTGGATAGATGTGAGTTTTTGACTCTGGGTTTCACGCTTTAGCGATCGTCAGACAAACTGATTAATGCTTTAAAAAATTTGGTTTTATGTAGATTGCGTGTATTGGTGTTATTGTGGAAGTGGTGGGGGAAATTTCGTCGTTTTGTCATTCATCGTACTAACGCAAACATCGATGTATGCAGACACATATACTTACTTGGTCGTCCGTCGGGACTCATACATATATAAACCTATGTGGGCAGTTTCGGCTATGACACATGTATGTATACGGGTAGTGTTATGTCTATACATACGCATTTGTATGTTGAAATTGAAAGTGTGGCGGAAATGTATCGTTAATGTCTCGTGAATGTATACATGTCATATTATGTATTTTCCCGCTGAAAAATATTTCCTCGCATGTATGTATATGCGTGTGGTGGGGTTTGTGTAAAATTATGATAGGTAAAAATTATTATTATTTATATTTATTTTTAAATTTTTGAAAAAAAGTGGGGGTTTATTTGTTATATTTAAAGCTGGTTATTTGTTTGTTTTTGGTGAGTGTGTATATGTAACAGGAAGAAATTTGTAATCCTTATTGTTTAATTTATATGGTTATGTTTAGTTTAATATTCAATGTGCTGGGTGAGAGAGTAGTTC